GGTACCTCACTGTAACATTATGGATATACTACCAACCAATAGATGTGCCCCACCTTCTTTACCTTCTTTAGTTGCTGTCAGACTTGTAGAAATATGGTTACAGTTTTATTTAGCTGATTATAAGTTTGTATTGAAAGTCAGAGTTATATTTTTTCTACTGTAGAAAAAAACATCCAACTGTATGTTTTGTGTCCCATTCCTGTTGCTTTTTGTCTCGGACTGAGGCAGTCTTTATCATGGAACAACCAGGGACTAAGTGGGTTCTGATTGTCTACAGACAGATAATGGTACAAACACACTTTTACATAACCATAATTTCACCTTAATTTATCATCTTTATGAAAGGCATTGGAAACAGGTGGTGTCACACCTGATTTCTTCAGGTCCAAACCATCTGTCATTGTGTACATTTCAGACATTTTAATACCTGCCCTGACAACTAATCAATGTCAATCAATTTTCTCTGCCCTGACAACTGTTAAGAAATATATTAATGCCACATTTCAGAAAAATCAAACAGAATAAACAGAAATCTGAACTACAACAAATGAAAACCTGCTCTATTATAGAGCTTTTTTTAAAAAACAAATTATATGTGACATGTGGTACTGGTAGTAGAGAAATACCTCTACTACATGTACTACTAAATGTGTGTGTTGAAATACACACATTTTCTCAAAGTATCGGAAGTTAAATCAGACCAAACTTTTCTTATTTCAGCTTAGAATTATCAACATTATTTCTATTTGTTATATGCCAGAAAATTTGGCAAGAACATTACTTAGATTTTTTTTTTACATTAACATACATTTGGTCAGTGTTTTAAATTGCATGACTTGAGCTAAATGTTTTGGGGTTCCAGAACCAAAGCCAAAGTCCTGGTGTACATGCTGGCTGAAACTGGTAAGACTATTATCCAGTTAAACTGCCCTGCATCGAGATGGGCTGAAATGACACCAGCGAGGAAGAAGACTTAACTTAGAAATATAAAAAGCCGGCACAAGGACAAAGAGTTTCATTTTTGGAGACACAAAAAAAAATTCTAAAAAATGTTCTATCAGTAATATTTTTTAGAGTTTCGTTTTGTAACGTTCTTTGAAATCAAATGCTTACATACATCAGTGTTTTAAACTGGATGACTTGAGTGGGAAATCCTTACTCTAGGCCTCCCTGGGTTTATCTCGCATTTGGTATGCTCAGCTGCCTCTGCCGGCTAATGCCTCGGGGTTGGGAGCTTTTAGATGCTTCTCCTTCCCCACTACAGGAGCATTCTTGCTTTCAGGGTCTTGTGCAGCTTCTAACCTCAGCTTAGCCTCTCTGGGATAGGGACTGCTGCTCCTGTGATGACTGCTGACCTGCCTCTGTCAGGTGTTCAGGCTACTCTGTAGAGGTGTTTGGTTTGTGTTTGCCTGAGGCTGTTCTGGCATTCAGGAGCTGAGGTAACCTGCCATTTTTCACTCATGGCCCCTGATGGTTGCAAGGTTCCAATTCTCCTCACTGTTTAAATTTTATTATTATTATTATTATTATTATTATTATTATTATTATTATTATTTTAATTTTTTATTTTTTGTCTGGATGTCAACCAGACAACCACCAAGATGCAAGCATTCTCTTTCACTTCTGTATCAATCAATCAATCAAATTTTATTTGCATAGCACATTTCAGCAGCAAGGCATTTCAAAGTGCTTTACATAATTAAAATAAAAACAGCATGTGACATTGAAAAAACAGTGAGAAAGAGATTTTGAAAAAGATTAAAAAAGATAAAAACATTAAAACCCCTTTTAGGACTTCAGTTAAATATTGTTTAACTGGGGCTCTAACCCTCTGTACCAGTAATACAAAATAGCTGAAGGTCAAAACACACAACTTCCTATCTTATTTATTTTTGTAAACTATCTACTTGAATGCTAGATACAGTCTGGATTTAATAAAGTCAGACATGAAATAAGGATACTGCATTGAGACATCCTTTTTGTTGAGCAAATGACTTTTTTAATTTACTTGAACTTTTAAATTCCCTGCCACTAGAAGACAGCCATATATAACTGCAGTTTCAATTCAAGATGGAATGTTGATTCATTAATATGTAACGGAAGATCAACATACCCAGTCCTGATGAAGAACACTGTGAATTTGACACCATTTATCCCAGAATACACACAGAGCAAGATACATACATGAAAAGCAGGATGCATGCTTCAAAAAACATGACAGAATGTGATGTTCCTTAAAAACCCCTGTAACGTGTGTTTTGAATACTGCAGCATAGGTGGGAAAATAGAAAAGAGAGTTACAGCTGATTTAACATCTAACCAGGTTTACCCAACTGAGCAGCTGTTACAATTACCAATATGATGTCAGGGAAAACACCAGAATGAAAACCTGTATAAAAGTGTTTTAAATTGCTTAATACATGACTATTCATTCATGATCAAAATTCATGAGACCTGCTGTGACACCAAACTAAAGCATGGAAATGTCTTATTTGTCAGTAGTGAAGCTGGATAGGCTTCTGTGTTGTTTCCGTGTTAAAGAGGTTCCTCTCCGTGTTTGCAGACCAGAAAAGAGGCAGCTGGTATTAAAATCATTTAATGATACATGACTGACTTCATTCCCTGGTGAAGCCCTTCCACCCATAATTTATCACTTTTAAACCGCCATTTCTGTCAGTTTTATTTAGTTAAGCTAAAAAAAAACTATTATTCATACACAAAGCAGATTCAAGCTCAAGTTTTTTTTTAAAATCAACTATAATGTTCATTCAGACTGGAAGCACTGTCAATGTTTTAGAGGGGTTCAACCAAATTCCTGTCTGAGAAACTGTGGAGGGAGCTAAAGATTAGGGTGACAACAAAGGAGGTTGACAATCTCAAAAACTTGGAGCTCTTCACCAAAGACAAAACGTCAGAATACCTGTAGAAACATTATAAAAGGCATTTCTTCGCTGCATTACCACTACATGTTTTTCCATTAATTATTGAAGAAGGCCTCCATTTTCTAATCAAATGTTATTGAAAACAGATTTTATGTACATAAACACTTTTTTCCTGCAAATTTATTGTATTACTTTGGAACCAGCCTGCAGTTTACACAGAATGATGTGGATGACATCAGAGCAGAGAGTGTTAAACATGGTGAACGCGGTAACTCGCTGCAGTTGGATATATTTAAAGTTTGTGATCGCCTTTTGGCAATCACTGATAGAAAGCAGAAAGCTGACATTGATTCTTCCTGCATCAAGTGGGCGGCACAGAAAAGCTGTTGCTACCATATGGATTCTATTACATTTAATAGCAGCCACACAGGTACATCCACTAGAAGGAAACAAACGCACCCAGTATAACACTTTCATTCTATTGGCTGAGAGGTTGCCAGGTGACAGTAGTTTTTGTTTTGAGAGAGAGCAGAAAAGAATTCACAAGCGAGCAGAGAGGTTTAGGAGCAGAGATTTGATCCGAGCAGAGAAGTTTTGAGCGCGAAAGGTTTGAGAGAAAACAGAGAATATCTGAAAGAGAGCAGAAGTTTTGAGTACAAACATTACAAGTTTTGAGAACAAAGACATGAAGTCCTGCTTTCAGACTGAAAATGAGTGCTCTCGACTTATGACAGTAAAATTCCCCCATACACAAACCTTATCAAATCTCAAGAATGAATTGTTATTTTTATTTTTATTTTGAAAGTTATTGGAGCTTAAAATGATCTTACTGGGAAATCTTGTTAAAAGCATTGAGCTCAGTTTTATTATATCTGATTTAAATATTGACTTCAGGATTAAAACAGCTTTTAAACTTATTCCAAATCACCAAATGTTTATTTTTATCTCTTTCGACGAAACACTTCTCTGGTTTCTGCTGGCATGTAATTATCCCCAAACACAAAATGAATTTCTGCAGAACTCTGAGGTTGTCCAGCAGCCAACATACACAAAGAAACTGTAAGGATTCCTGGCAAAGCACTACAGGAGTGGGCTTCAAACAAGGGTGTGGTGCTTACTGAGCTGAATGTTTCACAACACCAGTAAAACCAGTATCATTAATACAAACATATGTTAAAAGTCAAGAAATCTAGTTCCTTCTACTGACACTTTTGATTCACATATTAAAAAAAAGTGACTGAAATATCCAAGAAGCTCCAAGTCAAGAAAGCTCCCAGTAGGTTACAAGAGGTTTGAGCAGACAGTGTTGTCTGTTTCAGACAATTACACTTGAGCACACACCAGCAAACAATCATCGCTGTACATGCACACCGAGTCAATCAACACAAAAGAGGAAGCTCTCCAGATGTGCAGCCTTTTACTGCGGTGGGGGCCTCACACTGCATTTTGCATATCAAGATTACAGCCCAATGGTAACACACAGTGAGCTTTAAAAAGATACCCTTCCTCTTTCCAAAAGGGTGGCACGCAACAGCTTAGGCACTGGTCCCAACACAGTTCCACAACAGGAAAAGATGTCTTTCTTTTTTCCCCCATCACAATCACTAGCATTGTGCATATATATGTTTGTGTGTGAATGTCTTTGGTTGCTATCCACCTGCAGGACGGCTTGGAGATGCCTTTTAAATTCAAATTATTTGTAATGATAAGAAAACATGGGTCATAATCATAACATTTCTCTGATCCAAGCACCAAAACTCTGAATCATGGTTTGACATGAACGTCAATGTCTAACAGATAAACCCAGTCAGAAGAATATGGGTTAGAAATGTCAAAACCATGTACAAATAAAATGCTTCTGCATTTCTTAGCCAGGTGCCTTGTAACAAACAATGTCTCAAAAATGACCAAAAGATGCAAAAATGTGGATGAATGATATTAAAAGATTTACACTTTCTATGACACTCTTATTCTCTCGTTGCCCAAGTACACAAAGTTCAACATTTTTAAAGAAGTACAACAAAAAGATTCTACTCTGCTCAGCTATCGATGAACAAGTGGCTATGACAAATTAGTGTACATTACAAAGGTGAAGCAGAAACAGATTGGTGTACTTACATTTTTCCCAGTGCATATTGTTTATCTGGCCAAAATATCAAACAGTTAAACTGAAGAAAATCAAAGTGGCGGGATGACTGACGTGCTTTATAACAGCCTGTATCTGGCTAACAACCCCCAGGGACTTTGCAGTTTCTCTAACCACAGGTCTCCCCCTTGTACCAAGTTTCAGTCTTCATGCAGTTCAAGCTGACAAAAAACAACTACAGATCAGAAACGTTCATGGAGAAACAGAGCTAAAGAAAAAGATGCATGGCTTAAAAATGTTAAAAAATAATGTAACAGTGAACGAATAGTGAATGAAACAGCCTTTAAACAAATATTCTTTTACGTACATCCTTTCACTGGTTGTCTAATCTTGGCAAGTTGGCAGAATTTCAGTTTCCTCAAGAAGGGCTTTTGAAAAATAGCAGCAAAAATAGAAATGAAAAACTAAAGATGTTAATGAATGCAAACAGAACACAGTTCCAGACTGAGTGTTATGAGTAATGTCTGTATTAGTCAGCAGAGAAAAAAGCGTCACCAGTGCTCATTGACCATAAAATGCTCAATAGTAAAATGGTAAATGGATTGTACTTGTATAGTCCATTATCAAGTCCATAGGACCCCAAAGAGCTTCACACTAGATTCAGTTATTTGGCTATTCACACACACACTCACATACTGGATAGAGGCCACAGTCTGACAAAGGAGAGGCTGCCTTTCAAAGGCACCGGGACTCTGACCACCACCAGGAGTCTTGTGTCTTGCCCAAGGACAGAGACGGACAGACATAATAAATGCACAAATTGTAATTACAAAAACAAATTTGTTTAATGGAAACATGCCAATTAAAAAAAAAAAAGTTTTTTGATAAAAGAAAAGGTTTTTTGTGCTGGGATGAAATTGTTTTCTGGCTACACTGAAAATACTTTATTTCACCAAACTGCAATGGAAACACTTTTTCACTTCACATGAGTTGTGATCAGCAACCCCATGTTACAACTGGTGGAAAACACCAAGAAGAAGAAGACAGGAAGTAGTGGAAGGATGATGGTGCAGAATGTTTTAAGTTAATTATCGCTAGAACACACATATTCATGTGTGATTTTAATTGTTTCATATTTAATAGAAACACCACAATTGCAAAATTTTTATATTTTTGACATTAGCAAAATATCATCAAAGTCTTGCTTACATTTGTAATGGACATGCAGCTATTGTCTGTTTTTGAGCAGTGTTAAACGCTTTATCTAAGAGATGTGTAGTTAACATTGGGTGGTTTCAGAGATATGCGCTGAAACTACACACGAAAGACTAAGTCTGATAAATCGGCTTAATATGTTAACATATGATTAGCATTCTGTTCACCAAAGGGGTGAGGAACCTCATGACTCTCTATGCCTTTCCTACCAAAGTTTGCAGTATTCCTGTCAGAAAAACTACTATTGCAGTCTCAAGATGTGAAGTATGAGCCAGGATGCTCTCATTAGTGCTCAGATAAAAGCTGGTGGGAAATGATGGAGTTCTTCATACAAGCTTCCCCTCAAAAGGTGACTCTAATGACTCAGACGACAGATAGTGGGCTCAGGACTTTGTGGACTGGCACCAACAACACTGGTAGATCCAACGAGCTAGTGGTGGATGAACACCCACCTCATAGACACCTGTGAACATCTTGGGAGTGGACATCAAAAAAGTGGCCTCTTCTAAAAATTGGGTGTAGTCTGCCGTCACTCCAAAAATAAATACGCAACACTTTCCTGAAGTAGCTTTATGAATATTCAGCACAACTCCACAACACTTTGAAGCACTTTGAATTGCCTTGTTGCTGAAAATGTGCTATATAAATACAATTACCTTACCCAACATACAAACCAGGGCTCAAAAAAGGAAACACTTTTTGTCACGTGCACCAAAATTGTACCATCAAAAGTACTCACATGCCTGGGGTGTGCTGTGGTGGCGCAGGGGTTCAGCACAACCCACATATAGAAGGAGCCTTAGTCCTCGACACAGCCGTCGCAGGTTCAATTCCTGGTGACCTTTGCCGCATGTCCCCTTCTCTCATTACCCTCTTTCCTGTCAATTAACTATCAATTAAAGGCCACTAGAGCCAATTCAAAAAAGTATTCACATGCCAAGAAAAAAAGATCAAGAAAATATAGTAGAAGACGGATGTTATTAATTGTAGATCAACATTGGTGCAATAGCTGTATTAAAGTAAAGGCGTCTATTTTTCAAATTCTTTTAGGATGTTTGAACAAATTTATTTTCAGTTCTAAAAGCAGGATTGGGTCACTTTCTTTCAAAAGTGACCCAATCTAGCCAAGTTTAATAAATTAAATAAAACCTGGTGAAGCAGCGTTATCAGTTGTCTGAATATATGTGTTTCCACTTGTTATAAAAGTTTGGTTGTAAAAAGTGTTGCATTTAACATCATCTATTTTAAGAAAATTATGTCAATAAAAATTTGACCCTACTTAAAAAACAGGTTTAATAAACCAAATTGTATCATTCTAGAGCTGGAGTTAGGGGCCACAAATGGCCCCCGGACCACACTTTGGACACCCCGACACAGACGCTCCATCACTCATACTGACAAGTTAAGTAAACATGCTGCTGAAAACCTCACAAGGAAACTCAAAAGAGCAACAGAGTGAAGATTTTTGGTGAATCGGGATTTACTTTAGAAACTCTAGATCATTCCTCTCCTCACTCCATTTTTACTTCATCTATTTTACTCAGTGTTTCAGCAAGCATGACAAATAATCTCTGCTTAACCCTCGTGCGTGCGAGGACTGAGGCAAACGTAGAGGACTATGGCAAATGATATAAGTTTTATGTGTGTGGGGTTGGTTGGACCCCATTTCTACATACAAAGGTTAAGGAGGTGAGATGTTTTATTTTTGGCTTTATCAGGAATCATGTTTGAAGATGTTCTGTAGTACTTGTGTTTCACAACCATGTAGAGTTTCACATGCCAAAAGAAGAAACCGGCACTCCTGATACTAAAGCAAAGAGAAACAACCTGCTTATATATGTCAGGGCTTGTCGAGGAATCACTTTCAGAATAATTTTGAAATGAATCCTTCATCCCTGTTTTTACTTTCAGGGAGGAGCAAACCAAAAAAAAGTGATGGTAAGTTGTAAGAGCCAGATCTTTCTGGCTGCAACATCAGGCTCAGGCATCTCTAGCAGAATGACTTTCCAGCACTGACCTGTTTAGGCATGACACCAGTAAATTGGCCCAGCTTCCAGTGTTTGTGTAGTATGTCTGAGGTTCCTGATAAGAAATAATAACCTTTAATGACCCTTTCAAGAAATGCAGTGCTGTGTAAACATTAACTTGGTGCTGATTAGAAGACAGATGTGTCTCAGGGTAACTCTGTCCTTAAGATACAAACTTAAAAGAGGCTTTATCGAGCCCTCATTAATATCTCACTGATTATTCCAATAATATTTGAAAGCTTTACGCCAGATTAAAAGCTATGTGAGTCAGAGACAAATGTAACTTACTCCTTATATGTTCTCTGTGATAACAATGTAATGATTCATCAAAGGAGAATTGGAGAAGGTGTGGGTGAGATGTATTTTCTCTCTTCTCCCACCACATTTTTCATTGCACAGTCACTCCTGATCATAAGACTTGTTCACAGTGTGTTTTATTTAGATTTAATGTGTCAGACCAACACAAGGTAGGGCAGAGAAAGAAGAGAGAACCTTCGAAAACCTTCGCCAACAAAGGAAAAGGCTTCGGCTTGATCAGACTGGAGTTGCAAACGCAGAGATGGAAACATTTTTTTATGAATGGACCTCTAAAAAAATGTGCTGTGCATTTGCATCAAGCCCCCTCTACACCAATTCCCTTTCATCAAATCACATGTAATCAGTTAGCTTCCACACTCCTCATATTTAGTCAACAGAATCCAGCTATGTGCAGTTATACACTCCAATATCAATAAAAAAAATAAAAAATCCCATTTCATCTCAGAGCTCTGTTCAGTCTGCCTTACAAAGATAGAAAGATGGTGAAATAAGTGTAAACCTACCAATAGATGGGCGTCAAGATCAATTGAAAGGGCAGGCAAGGAGAGCACGAATCACAGAAGTAGTAAGACGATTATTTCCACCACCTCCCCAACATCGCCGTCATTCTCTTCTAAGGCTGCTATGCTTTGCTTCGTCCACAGGCTCTGGGCTCTCGGCTTTCGACATGGATTTTGTTGAGGTTATAAATTTTACCCAATTGTTAACATTTTGCTGTGACATGTAATGCACCAGTTCGACGCCAAGAAGCTTCCCAGAGATTGCCTGTGCTGTGAAGAGAGAAGTGTCAATCCAAACGAGGCGACTGTAATGTTAATTCAATATGTGGAAGCATGACCAACACAGACTGAACAACTTTGTTCACTTCCTCCGCTGCCATTGCTACAGACTACAATTCTAAAGCAGAGCAGAAAATCTGAGTCATTGTTCACTACTTCTACTACTTGGTAGAAAAATTACCTAGAACCATCTAAGTCAAGGGGAGCCCAGATTGTGCTGGAAGCAAGATTTTTTTTCCAAGCTGTATTGCACAAAAAGGCAATGGCCAGGCTCCTCGATAGCAGTGTTTCTTAACCCTGGTCCTCAGGCCCCCCTGTCCTGCATGTTTTAGGTATTTCCCTTCTGCCACACCTGGATTGTATCTCTGGGTGATTAACAGGCTTCTGCAGTACTTGATGGTCATGCAGTCATTTGAATCAGCTGTTCTGGAATAGAGGCACATCTGAAACATGCAGAGAGGGGGGCCTGAGGACCAGGGTTGAGAAACATGGTCTACAGTAAGAATGACCTTTTACCAATTCATTCTCTCTGTCAAATTCCACATCTCACCTGTCTGCTTCTGCTCTCCAAAGCTTTTTGTTTCCCCACCGCTGAATCTCAAGAACCTCCCGAGCACATCTCATCTCACCATTTTAATAAAAATTTCTGAATATTGCTTCTGTCTCCTAAGAGCGTTTGCTTTTGTGTCAAACATTGAATTATGACAACGGAGCCAAAGAAGCCTATGAGAAGTGGGCAAAAGTCTGCCAGGGGGCTTGTG